TGTGGTGGCGCATCGCCAATATGAATAAGAACACGGGTGGCATTGCTCCATGTCATCTGAGTTATCGCAGCATTAAGGCCACCTAAGACATCTTCTGGTGTAATATATTCTATAAATTCAATTTTATTCTCAGTAGGATTTGAACTCTTGTACTGCTACTTAGAGATAACAAATTTAAAAACTCTTCTAGAATATATCCAAGAGCCTTATTGCAATAATAAACATATTTGATTAATAATTTTTTTGCTATTTAAAATTTGTTTTCAGACTATTTCAACTAATTGACTAAGATGCTTAAAAACATCTTTTACTGTAAAATGCAAATAAGTCTTGCACCTGCTTATGCATTGAAAGTTTTTAGCAAATCATGTATTCAAATACTACTGTAAGAGGCAAATACGTAATTTAGAACTAAACAACAATTAAGTATAATTATAGCCATATGCTATAAATGTGTATTTGAACTCAATCAATAAAAAGCACCAATTGAACTATCAAATCACCAAGACTTAAGATAAATTACAATTTTCAAATCTAAAATAGCAAAAACAATATACAATAATATAATTATTCAAATAATAGCTAAAATGAGACAATAAGATTAATGTTACTATTTGAAGATAAGTCTGTGACTATGTACAAGTGTCTTCATATGCCACATAACTTTTTATAATTGAAAGCATTGTTAGAAAAGATATAGAAGCAAAAATTATTAAGATAATAAAGGCTGTTTGTATAAAAAGTAAAGTGCTTGTCAAAAAAGATAAAAACAGCTTAGAATTAGTAGAAAAGAAAGTGCTAAAGTAATAATGAAATGTTCAAAATTCTTTTTCTTGTAATTTCTTATAAATAGAGGTAGACATTTCTTTTGTAAAAGTGATATGTGCCTATGCATAAGAATTTATTAATAAAAATCTTCCAAGTAAAAAACATAACTCTCCGTAAAGTCTTAATCGTAATTAGTATTATGCATAAGTCAATTAAAGATTAGTCTGCTTAGTTGATTTAACTGGTATCATGATAAAATTTCTTATTAAGCGTCATAGCTTTTTGTTGTTATTGTTTTCTATATGGGTTCTTCGCTAGGAAAATTCACCCTTTGATCAACAGATATATCAGTTTTTACATGTAAATCATCTTTTGCCTTTGTTGATTCTATGTAAAATGTTGTAAAACGTTTTATTTCTCAAATAAACTGGTTCTCAGAAATATATCATAATTAAAAAAGTTTTCGCATGCAAATAAAAAAGTCATGCACGTGACATATAGTGATTTTGTATACAGTTATTAATGATTATAATTGTGTTATTTGACTATTAATCTATGCTTTTTTTTGGCTTAATTGGCAGACCAAATTTTATTTTTTTAAGTCATGAAATTCCAGGTCAGTAACTATATATTCATTTTACTACTTAATTCATTTAATTATATAGATATTTACTATGAAATAATCAAGTAGCCCTATGGTGGTTAAAAAAACATTATAGATATGTCTTTTAAAAAACTTATATTTAAAAAATAAGTTATAAATAAATATTTGTGGGATATAAATGACAATAAAGAAATAAGTTATAAATAAATATTTGTGATATAAATAACAATAAAGAAATATGAATGCAATTTCGATTTATAAAACTTTAGATTCAGCAAATCCAACTTTTAAATTATCAAAATCAAATACACTATAAACATTCGATAAAAATGCAGCACCAACCAACCACACGTCAGATGGACCTCCCTGGATCATTGATTGGCACAACGAACCACTCTTATTTTGTGTTCTAATTAATTCTGTAGGGCTAATTTTATATGACGTGTTATTAAACACTAAAGATACAATTTTTGTGGTGTTACATGGAATCCACCATGTACCGGAAATTAAAGAGCTACCAGGAATCATTGCATGGATCTTTGAGACTTGATTAGTGTCACCAATGATATCTGGGGTACCTAGTTATTGAAATAAGTCAAAGTTTTTATATAAATTTGATAATAAATTAAATTAAAAAATAAAAGAAAATAATGCAAACCAGTATCGATCAAAGCAGATGAATTAATTCCTCCGATTGAAATACCGCCAACCTGAGCATCACGCAATGAAATCATCCAAGTCCCCGGATGTAGTGTCTGATTAATAAGATTGTTATATACAATATTTCCAATATAAGCATTTACATCGATGCCTCCGAGATTCATAAAACTTTTATCGGTAGGCTTCAATTTATATCTTCCAAGGTGAAATCCAATTATGGTACAATTTAACAATTTATTTTGTTTCATTGCTTGAATCAACCCAGGATTTGTAACTTCTCCAATTTGACGAGAAAGACCAAGAATACCATCTTCTTCATATATAGTATTAAAGC